AAGGCTTTCCTGTACTTTAAAACTGAAAAGCGATTTTTCTTTAAACTGTCACTAATTTAAACAAATATTTTAATGCAAAAATCAAAACATTTAGTACTAAGGAGATCATAGAATAGTTTGGGTTGGAAGGGACCTTTAAAGGACACCTAGTCCGACCCCCCTGCAATGAGCAGGGACAGCTTCAACTCGATCAGGTAGTACTTGTTTACTACGTGATAGAGTGGATAAAAAGCTACTGAACTGCATGCATTGGAGGAACACAACGATTTGAAAGAGTCAACAGAAGTTGCATTGACTATTAGAATAAGTAGCCATTTGGTAGTGGATTGTAATGGGAAAACTAAACACAACTATTTCCATTGACTCTACAATGCTGTAGCAACACAATGCAAGTCAGAGCACTTATAAATCAGCTGCTGGAATACGGAATCCATATATTGACCCAGTTGTGAAATTCAAACAAGTTTCCCCTCGAGTATCCAGGAACGCATTTCCATCAACTGCAGGTGGACAGGACTGATGGTACACAAAACCAGCAGATCCAGCATAACATACTACGCTGAAAAGCCACATGGCAGTTGAATAACAAACACAGTTTGCACTGATCTACTGGTAACAAATGTTGCTGACTGCTTCAGACAGAAAAGAGCTAAACAAAATGGAGAAGAAAGAGGTAGGGTTTACAACTAAAGCTAAAAAAATCCTGCTTTAAACTGAGGTAGCATAACATTATATGGGTAAAATACGTTAAGGGCAGTTTCAATTTTTTAACTATACTGCGAAGTTTAAATATGCGGAGTTATTTCTGAAATACCTACATTCAAGAATCCACACACAGGCAAAATAAAGGTAAAGAGGTATACCTATAAAAAAACCATAGGTAAACTGCAGCGGGGGGCAGTTTAGGCTGGCAAGTTACCTTTGTGCATAAAATATTCTAGGCTGCATCCAGTAAAGCAACGTAGTAGAGAACTGGATAGGTCTGGCCATTCCTTTTGTTACTTCAGCAGATGGATCTTACAGACAAGAATCTGTTTGATGCTAATACCTAGAGAAGCTTTTAACATGCACCTACCATGCAGCTGTACCTATCATGCAGCAATTACAGCTGCTGTAAATATAGAGTACTGTTTTGCCCAGCTAAAAAACTATTTAAAGATGATTATTAAATACTTTCTGAGAAACCTTCATGCTATTAACCTTCAGCATATCGCACAAAAAGTATGAATGAAATGGATCTCTTGAACTGCAAATCCACTTGGAGGCTTGAGGGGATACCACCAAATAAATAAGCAAGAGGAACAAATATTTTTTCTCATGGAATACTTGATAGAGATATTATTTTATGGTGACACGCTCTAAAACTATGGACATAGACCACAGTTCATCAGGCAGAGTAAAAGGTTTAGCATGTTTACAGTAACAGTTAAGTACGAATGCAATCAAATTTCATCAGAATAAAATAAACATATCACATATCTCCTAATGTAGTTAATAAAAACATCACTTCTGGGTTACTGACCATTGCAAAGAAAAATGCAAAAAACACGGTTTTGAATCAAGGGTAACAGTGTTCACATGAATCCAGCTCTCAGCCCTTAGCTAATCAATCATTTTCAAATCACTTAGTACTTACTTGATTATCACTTTCACAATCCTTAAGGATTAAGTATCTTAATAGATTTAGCGATGCCATAATCCTGTGAATTAAAAATACACTATTATTTAGAACACAGATTTATGTTACAGGGATAATAATTGTCCATTAGCCAGACATCCTAAAAATATCCACTTGTACAAAATGCAACCACTCATCTGTTGAGCAATATAGCTTAAGTCCAGAGCACCAGCACGCAGTAACGTCCATGTCAAAACAGTTGACACTTCGCAAGTAAGATTAAAACCGTCAGCAGATTGGAGAGGGCTGGTATGAAAGAGTTCCCTAAAGAGATAGAACGTTGTTATAGAAGTTGTAGTATGCATCACTGGTGATCCAAAATTGATATGAAACCAGTGTGACAGTTTTCTTTAATTACTGTATTGAGTTTTTACTTTTAAGTGCTGCTTAAAAATATGCTTTTCGCTTTTGTCTTACCATACTTTTTAGCAGAAACCATTTATTGCCTTTTCCAGATGAACAGCACAATTACCGATCACACATCTGGGTTTTTAAGTAGTGACACGTCCATCTGGACACTATCACCCTACTGACTTAGGAGCCCAACCTTTACTCATCATATAGGAAGAGACTTGTCCTATACAGGAGATTTTCAGAGACGCTTTCAGTTATTTTTATAATACTTAATGCAAGTATTTGCTGTTCAGGTGGCTCTGTATTCCCACTCATGAGACAGTGAATTCCCAGCAGCAATCTGTGAAACAGCCTCAAAAAGGCTGTGTGCTGTAACTTGTACCTGGTAATTGCTATTCCCCTGTGTCACATAAGACAACATACCACACTTTTTTCCTCCAATTGCTTCTGCAGAAAGCTGACAAACCATACAGTCCTGAAGAAATAATGCTTTCCCAATTAGTTCTGTAATTTGACATCTGAGGCCTTATATCCTCAGGGAATGAAGGAGGAATTTCTTTCTTATTGTTAAAATCAGTGTAATAGCATTGTGACATTCTTCTGTACAGAGTTAGCTGAAAGGATGGTTGAAATAAGCCATCATTTCCAGTTCTAGTTTAAAATACAATGATGCTGTCACCTCATTAATTACATGACAGCATACCTCCCGTTGTAGTAAGGTAGTTTGAAGTCTTTCTAAATGATTAAAAAAAAAAGGAGAAAAGCCTCTAAATGTGCTTACAGCTCACCTATCTGAGTTTTGCAGAAGATCCGTCTCAGCGCCTTCTGGAAGCAAAAGCACTAAATCTAGAAGGGAGATCAGGTGATGTCCTGTAAACCAAATGTTGTCACATGCCTTCTGAAAAAAAGATACAGAAAGTTTACCTGAGTGCAAAATTTTAACTTTAAAGATATCTTAAAGAAATTTTAAATAATTTAACAACAATTTTGAGAAAACAGAAAAGAAAAAAAAAAATTAGACACTGGAAGCAGTATTTTCTAATTACTACCTGTGATTGAAGTATACAAACTAGTCTTCATAACCCTCCCTACTTTGTCTCTTCAGGCCAAGCTGTTCTTTTCAGTTTCATCAGAATAGATTCTCCACCTCTTCACGACACCACCATCTATATAATTAGTATTTGTTTACATAAACTTAGCAAATTGTACTAGGCAGTCTCTTTTTTTATACTGAGGTATGGAACAATTAACTCTCTTTACCAGAGACTCCATTCATTTCATAATACTAGTGTCACAGGTTGGTTTGTTTGGTTTTTTTAAAGATGATCAGGTGTTCTAAGTTTTCTCTGCATATTTCTAAACCCACAACTCCTAGCAATGCTTGCAAGTAAAGTACACCTTCACCCTCTATGGCTCTTTGATGGAGGACGGACATTCGGTTACTTTCTTTTGAGAGAGGGAGGAGGGAGAGGACAGAGGGGAGAATCATTTAAGCATAAAATGGAGAGCACTAGGTTTTGAGGTGACACAATGTACTTATTTTGATGCCTTCTGCATCACAGACAGACCACTTGCAATTTTCACAAAAATTCCCCTAATTTACAACAAATTATGAACTGAGGATGGGCAAAACAACAAAAAACTACCTCTCTCATTTGCTTAGCAAAGTTTTTTAAAGCCTTGCAGCTAACACCACTGAAAATTCCTTCCTCGATGAGGACAGTTGAGCCTCCCTGCGCTGGTGCTAACTTAAGGGTGCGCCCATCATTCCCAAAGAGCAAGCGAGCACGCTTCTCTCTGAAAGTTCCGCAGCCTCTTCAAAAGGCTATTCCATGTCAGTACAATGAAGCTGGGAGCAGGGAGTTGGTGCAAAGATCCCATGCTGGCAAAGTCCTTACCTTAGGTAAAGGTGGGGAAGGCTGGGGGAAGAGGTATCATACGCAGGGCAAAAGCTGGACAAGAGAGGAAACCTGGACAAAGCCAGAAATGGCGGGGAAGGGAAACTGAGATTAGGTGAGTAGATGAGAAGGGTAGCTGCCTGTTAAGTCAGATCAGATGAGGGTCCTGGAAAGATTAAGACTAACTGGGCACAAAAACTAAGATGAAATTAATGGACAGCACTAGGAAATTTTTATCCTTATGTCTATAGCAGAATTCCTTGCAATGTACCTAGAATATTCAAATTCATATGATGAAATTTTAAAATAATTTGTCTTTTTGACAGCCTACACGGAAGAAATGTATTAAGCGAATTCTGAAGCTGCATAGTCAAAAAATTAATTTGTAAGGAAATTTCAGAATATACTTTTACTTATTCGATTCTAGTGCAAGCCCCCTTAGGAACAGTTTTCACATTATCATCTTCTTTGCCCCTGCTGATTCAATATACAGGACAGGCTATGATCTAATAAATAGTAATTCACTGTTTTCTAACGTAATTATGCTAGCATAAAATATGCATAAATTTACTATATTGTCCTATTTGACAAAAGGCAGTATCCTTGAGAATAAAATTTGTTTGGAAAAGGCCCTAAGCAATTAAAAAAAAAAAAAAAAGAGGAAAAAGAGTTAATAATTTATTTTTAATTAATTTTTCCAACATCCTAGTATAATTATTATAAAATATGAGATTTAAATGGCTCTGATCTAGTTCAACCCTTTCTGATGAAATTAACATTTGTGAAGCACTCATAATGCTGACTGTCATCATAAAAACCAAGAAAAAATTAGTAATTCTGTCTGGACTGTAGCATTTGAATTATATTCAAGAAATTAGGAACTGTGAGGATGAAACAAAATACCGAGTAGTTCCTCTTTAAGAAAGCAGCATGTATTTTCAAGCACAGAAAAGATAATAATAACTTCTTAGAAAAATACAGTAAGATTGTGCAATTAAAAAATACATTTTAAAAACTATAATATAAAAATACATATGCAGAAAAAAGCCAAATTAATATTTAATTATATAACTTCCCAATCTTATGTTTCTTTTCAAAGTGTATTTTTTTAATGCATCACTCGAAGCTTAAGCTGTACATTTTCTCAACATAATACCAACAGAATTTTGAGACAGCAACTTGTTTTTTAGTGGTAATAGCCTCACCGTTAACGATAAGTGAATCTGATCTTTTATATTTTTAATAATGTATCCTTCCACACCAGCATGGTTGCTTGTCTTCAGTAAACACCTTCAAACAAACAAAAGATATTATGTCTTCAAAGCTGCCTATATAGTTAGCTCAAAACTTAGACAACATTATGGCCTTATTCACTAAGTGGGAGTTTTACCACAGAAAAATAAGACAACGATGTAATCTTAGCTTACATAAGACAGCTGATTTTATGTCAGGCAATTGGAATTCATTATTTAACCAAAAATTAACATAATAAAATTAATATGGTTTACCAGATAGAAGCTCTGTCAGAAATCATTGTATCTATGCAATTAAGCTGCAGTAAGGCTGATTACAATCTACAATAATTTGGATACATACCTGAATAATGTATATTTTCCCTCTGCGTCAAACTTGTCTATGAACAACTGCAAAATATTTAAACTCTTCTTTCTCTGAAGAAAAAAAAAAAGCTGTTATCAGATTAATTCTAATTAAATAAATTCAGCACTTAACTGATTCTGTAGGTTCCATTACATACCAGATGCTCTATGGGACAAAGGGTCATAACTTTCACCAAATCCTGCAGTTGGACAAAGAAAACATAATTTCTAATTACATACAGATTATTACATCACATCACACTGACTAAAATCTACTCAAGACATTAAAAAAACAAAAGAAACAAAAAACCAAAACCCCACAGCCCATAAAACCATGCCTATGAGAAGATTCTCAAAAGAAATTCACATTAGCCTCAGTGGTTGAAATCCCAGGGCTGATACAGAGGACTACTATTCAGCAGATTTGAAAGAAAGAGGCAAAAATGAGCAAGCATCATCCTTCAGCTAAAATCAGTGCCCACCTGCCTCAGTGGCCTGTACATACACAAAGTATATTTTAATTGTCACTGAAACTTCATACTGCAGTGGGTAGAAAAGACAATCAATTCTGTATAGCAAGACACTGAAGGTTTCAATTTAATGATGCAAGTGTATAAAGGTTGTATATAGTATGTCCTCTCTCAAACACCTAGAAGACAGCTAGACATTATTTATAATCCAACTTTAAAGACTTCTGTACATTGCTTCTTATTACCTGAGGTACGTTAATAAAATCTCTGAATTCTAAATACTGATGGAGAAGGCTATTATCTTCCATTCTCAATAAACAGCTCTCAAACAGATCCTGCAGGTGGGGGAAAAAAAAACAAGCTGCCAACATTTTGCACACATATAAGACATTAATCTACACGCTTAACATTTATTTCATGGTTAAAAACGCCTTCACTATAAATGCTCATTCGCATATCCAAAGTTCCTAGGAGCTACAAATGTAGGTAATAATAGCAATTTAAACATTTATGCATGTGTGTAAAGTTCAGTAAGTGTGTCTGTAAGACTGAAGAAAACTGGAAAAAAAAAAACATTCTAACAATGAAAATTTGATTAAAAGAAAACTTACAAGTCCTTTAGATAACATAGATTCTTCTGTTCTAGGAAAAAAAAGAAACATTATCAAATTTAAGTTGTTAATTAAAAAGACACTCTTGATATTTCAGAAGAAATAGTAGAACAGAGATCAAAACCAGCTTGTCCCTCAACAATTTGCATTCTACTTTCTAAATATACTATCTTCACTATACCTCTCAAAGATTTTTAGGATAAACTGGCTGATGAAAAGTTGAAAATTAGACTCCTCTCTTCAGGGTCAAAAATGACTTTTTTTCCCCCCCTCAATATTTGTAAATGCTCAAAAGTAGCATCTCCTATCTCACAGGTATCAAGACACTGATTAACAAAGAAAATGAAACTTTTCCCAGATGATTGCATTTGCATAGTTCTGCAAGCCTAAGAAAAACACAGCAGATCCTAAACTGAAAAGACCACGAAGTTTTGTTTAAATTTTACCAGGAAATTGTAAGCAGTCATAATGGGAAACTTGCCTTCTATAGCAGTGCTAGAAACTATTTGGTCAATACAGCTGCTTATGGAAGGAGAAATAATCACAATATATAGCAAAGTCTGGTTTCCTTTAGAAAGGCTGACCTTTAATCAGACTGCTTATCCTATCGGAATACATTAAAATAAATACTATCACGATAGTCTTCTCTAGTAGTAAACTCATTGTTACAGAATTACAAGTAAATATACACTCTAATTATTCTGCATGTGTTTAAAAGACCTTAACTTTGCATTTTCAGAATAAAGTTTCGAAAAATGGTATCACAATACAAGCTGAAAACAATAGATCAATGTTTTAGACAACTTTTTACACTTCTTAGCAAAAGAAGCCATCTTGTTGTGGAACTTGCCATTTTAACTCTCATGTTTAAAAACCTCCACTGAACTTACCTGGTATATTTGAAATTTCATTCTATGAGTAACTATAAAAGATCACACCCACTATCTAGGACTCCAAACACCATAAACCCTACCTTTTCAGTAGCACTTCAATATGTGTCATGTTGCATTGCAGAAGGTACGATGGACTAGAAGAGAAAAATTAGGTTTACATTAAGCTGCATAAACCATATGCATTTGCACATAGTTAATCTATTTGACAGGATTAGTCTGTCTTGAAAAATTTATAAAAATACCTTTATAAAATTAAGAATTTTGAAATAGACACAAAATAGTAAGTCAAATCGCTGTTAATTACTCTTACGTGGAAACTGTCTATAAGTATGCAATTGAAAATTTAATGCATGTTCATTTTCAGCATGTGACTAATCCTACCAGTTTCTTTAAAAGGACAGCTCATCTAAAATTAAACCATAATAGAGTACTCTGCAGGAGTGGAGTATGTTCTTATGTATATAATATAAGCTACCTAAAATATAAATGCATAAAGGTTGACATAAAACAAATACTAGTGAAATACAGAGTTTTCATTCATAACTATTCACAAATAAAAAGTTTTCTTCTGCTCAGAAAGAATCTTCAAAGTACAGACTTACGATAAGTGAGGAAGAATAGTTCTTACCTGAACACCACTGGAAAGCAATCAATACCAAAATGCTGAACAAACATCAAGTATGACAGACATGCCAAAGAATCTGCAGAATTCTTTTGCTCTATGTCTGCAAACTCCTGATTCTCCCAGTGTGGACTTTTGCCTTTACGATGTAAAAACACTAATGGTATCAATTCTCTTATATCCCACAAAATGTCCTAGAAAAGGAAGATAGATTGCCTATAGTTGCCTTTAAAAGACCTGTATACCAACTAAGTTTCAAAGCTTTAACTGTATTTACAGTAAATTCTCCTACATAGCCTATGTATAAATTAATATAAATATTTGTGAGTATTTTTGATATATACACATACACAAAAAAGACCCTGCAGGAAAAAAACTAGTTAGAATAATATTACTAAGATAGCAAAGTCAGGCACTCAAAAGTTAGCAAAAGACAAAATAAAGTCACCCTGCAAAACCTTAGTTTGCCTTCTTTATCCACAATGCTACAAATAATGATAGCTTCATGATCACATTATGCCACAGGACCCATGTCTTTCAGATCACAGAATACTCAGTATTTTCTTTTCTACTCACTAATCAATACGCGACAATATGTTTATCTGCTAAAGCCAAGCCCTGCTTTGAAGTTAGAATCACTCTGTATGGCCTTTCTTTCCAGTGATGCACAACACGGACACCCAAGTACTTCAGAAATAGTAGCGTGCTTTTTTCCCCCCGCAACACACATTCATGTGGATTTGGAGGTAATCTAACTGCTGTCGTACATATTGTGAAGAAACAGCAAGAACAAGGTTAACTCACTATTCCAGGGTCATCCAAACTGAACATCTGGGATCTCACATTTTCGAAAATTAGGATTACACAAGATGTCATATAGTCAAAGCTACTACTGACCTTAGCTGCAGCTCTCATTACCCAATTCCACAAACAGAAGTGAATTTCTTGAGAAAATGAGGAAAAGGTAATTAATTAGCATAAAGAACATTCAGACTGTGCCCAACAGGAGAGGCAGGATAAAAAGCCAGATTTTCAGAGCGCCCTTCTCTTAACCATGAGATCATCTTCTGGTAATCCCTGCCTCCTTCACCGCACACCCTAAAGTCCTGCAATAAATGAAGTAAAGGTCTCAGAGACAAGATTCTCTTTCATTGCACAACCCTGACTGACCCACACAGCAGTTCCATCCTATGCTGAGACATGCTGTGGAAAAAAATGGATGTGATCGTGATAGAAAAACCTAATTATGGTTGAAAAACAACCAAAAGTTTTGCTAACTGCTTAGTGTGCTTCACTTTACAATCTTAACATTTGGATATAGGATTGTGTGTGCAAAAATGCTTAGATTTTTAAACACAAGTTGGAGAAGAAACAGAGTTGCATCACATGGAAACTTCCAGACTTCCTCTGCATGCGTGCACATTTGTGCACACTTACATACAGTATATTTCATGTGCTTTCCTCACCCCAGCTGGCTCCAAGTCTTCCTTTGAAACTCATCAAGTCTTAGTGTGTCATTCCCTCCCCCAAAACGACACCCTGACCCAGGTTCTCTGCTCTTCTAGGACTAATTCCTCCCCGTGTCATACAAAAAGCTGTCTGTCTTCTGACTCCCTAGTTCATAGTTCACAGCCAGTTCATCCATCTTCCTCCAATAGCTGGGTTTCCTCTGTCCCTCAGCCAGCTTCACCCCCACTCTACCTTCTCTGGAACTTCCATTTCCCTCTTACACAGCTCCAGGCATTCTTTGACTTTTGTCTTTCTGTATTGAACACGTGAATTTTCCTTCTCTAACCAGGGATAACAAGGTAGAACAAAGTCCAAAGCTCAAACGTAACTATTCTTTAACACAGTTGATGTTAACAGGAGAAACAAGTGTATCCATGGTTAATAAAACAGCTTACAGAAAAGAATTGTAATGGCAGGTTATCAAAACCAGAATTGTATTTTTGTTAACAGTAAATATTAATAACCAGTTAATAGTCATGTAACGCTCTGTTCTCCTATACATCTAAAAAAGTCAGCTTGTAAGAGTCAAAGACATTAGCTGCAATCTTGATACAAATGAGCTGTTACTGTCTATTCGGTGTTACCCAATTAGCAGGCCATTGGCTATCCTGAGGGAAGACCCCACTTACTACTGGGAATATTTTCCAACCTTGTATTTCATTACAAGATTTACCAGCCTGCTTCTGACTAAACTGTTATAAAATAATCCAGCACCTGGTTGTCAAGAAGGTTCCTTTATTTCATCAGCCCAACACAAATCACTGTAGAAAGACGCATTTGAAAATTAGAGACAACTGGTATTTACAAATATTTTAAATTTGGTGTAGTGGGTCTGGCTGGCATGGAGTTGATTTTCTTCATGGCAGCCCGTACAGTGCTGTGTTTTAGATTTGTGACCAAAACAATGCTGGTAACACCAGTGTTTCAGCTGTTGCTGAACAGTGGTTGCACAGCGTTAAGGCCTTCTGTTTCTTACTCTGCCCCTCAGCGAGCAGGCAGAGGGTGGGCGAGAAGCTGGGAGGACACAGCCAGGACAGCTGACCCGAACTGATCAAAGAGATATTCCATACCATGTAACAGCACGCTCAGCAACAAACTGCAAGGCAGGGAGGTGGTATTTTTCAGATTAACTGTTGTTCAGAGACTGGCTGGGCATCAGTCTGCTGGTAGATGATGAGTGACTGCCATTGCATCACTTGGGCTTTTTTCTTTGCCTTAAATTGTCTTTTTCAACCCAGGAGTTTTTCTTGCTTTTGCCCTTCAGATTCTCTTCCCCATTCCGCTGGAGGAGGAGGGGGGCTAAGTGAGTGACTGGGTGGGGGCTTCGCTGCCAGCTAGGGTCAAGCCACTACATATGGATGTGTGCAAGAGCAGAAATACTCTTTACCACATTGAAAACATGAACAAAGCACAGCTCTACTTGCTGTAACCTTACTAATCACACCTAGTCCTATTTCTGAAAACATACACGTATTGTGTGTTCCAACACACACATGGACTGTACCTGACTATCTCCTTATAAGGCTTGGTTTTGCTGCAAATTTAAAAACAATTATCTATACCCACAATAATCTTGCTCTAATAAAACACAGCTGCTACATAAAACATTCAAAACCAGAGTAACTGCATTGGTATCATCGAGTGGACACGTTCCCACTGAACTTCCAGCTATAGCATCAGCAGCAGTCAAGCATCAATCTATATTCTTTAATATTCAGCTGGCACTGCACTAGGCACATTGGAGATTTCTCTCTGTGCAACACTTGGATTAAAGGTAACACGTAGATTTTGCCTTGATGTAATACTGCAGCAAAGACGATCCTTTAGATACTCTAATAAATTCATACATCACCAAGAAAAAGAACCAGTTACAGCACAGGAGCAGCTGCTGATTCAGAGAGCAGTCAAAACTGGTTTATAAGCAGCAAAACTGTGTCTGCAAGATTTGTAATTTCCAGAGATGGGACCTGGAACTGTTCTAGACCTTCATCTACCTGCATTATCCTACAAGGCCCAGTAAGGACCTTGGGGTTTTTCAGCCTAGAGACGAGCAGGCTGCGGGGAGACCTTATTGCAACCTTCCAGTACTGAAAGGGGGCCTACAGGAAAGATGGGGAGAATCTTTTTAGCCAGGCCTATTGTGACAGGACAAGGAGTAATGGATTTAAACTAAAGAAGAACAGATTTAGACTGGATATAAGGAAGAAATTTTTCACAATGAGGGTGGTGAGGCAGTGGCCCAGGTTGCCCAGAGAGGCGGTGGAGGCCCCATCCCTGGAAACATCCCAGGCCAGGTTGGACGGGGCTCTGAGCACCCTGCTCTGGTTAAAGCTGTCCCTGCTCGCTGCAGGGGTTGGGCTGGATGATCCCTAAAGGTCCCTTCCAACCCAAAGCATTCTAGGAGTCTATGATTCTAAGTCATCCCACTAACCAACAAAGGAACCAAAATGAGCTCTAGAACGAATTACATGTAATTCTGAACTAGACCACTGGTTTTGCAAATCCAAATTTTGACTGCACTTACTATAATTTCAGTTGCAAAATGCCGAAAGGGATGTTCTTCAATGCCTTCAAGTTGCTCAAGCTGAGCTGTCAATAATGGGTATTTCAGGCTTTTCATACAGCTGAAATAAAAAGGGGTGAAACTAAATCATCAATAAGGTCACAAATACAGACTATAATGGTGTCACTGATGACCAAGAATAAAGTCTATACTCATATTAGCTGCTGCTCCTGATATTCCAAGGAGAATAAAAAAAGAGAAAAGAACATCTCCTGTAGAAGCATTCATTATACTTCACCTCCAGAATATGATTATCCTCACTGCTGTAAATGTGAGGAGAAGCAGAATACCAAAACAGCTTCACAGAACAGAGACTAGTATTTCTTTACCATTTCCCTGTTCTAAAAAAAAAAGAACCCAACCCAAAAAATTATTTTTACCTTTCTTCTCTCAGTTCATGAATATGTAAGGCATATTTAGGGTTTTTCTTTTTCAAAATACCACATTAGTTAATACAAGTTGACAGCATTATAAAACACTAGTAAGATGATTTATTTACTGCCTGTGTAATATATGCCTACTGTTCATTTTGTTAAGTTATAGGAATACATTACACTAAGATAAAACACTCACAATTTTAATAATTCTTCTTTCAGCTCCATGTCATTGTATTCTGATGACTTTTCCATGTTTTTAACGACTTCATTCACAAAAGGTTTAGCAAACTCCACCACTGCATTACAGCATTGACAGAGACCAAGTTTATCTTCTTGTATTTGTTGTTTTGTATAAGGAACAGGTAAGGGAGTAAGCTGATTCATAATCATGGCCAAAGATAAACCCACTGAGTAGGCCTTCTTGTTCTGAAGTTTCAAAAGCACTGGGTGAAAGGGGAAAAAAGAGAGAGAAAGAGAGAGAGGAAAAAACATTTTGAGACATTAAGTTATTACTTACTCAGTAGAGGAAAACATGAAGAAAAACAATGTGACTACATAAGAAAGCCTTTAGTTTCAGGGAAGGAGAGGGACTGATATCTGAAGTCACATAAGCAAATCCAGCAAGACTAAACATCATCAGCTAGTTTAATATGCTGTTTTTATATTTTTATATTCCCATATATTTGAGAATGGCAAATATGAAAGCAGGCATGCATTTCCTTTCTCTGTAGCACTGTCAGGAGTATTGGAAGAAAAAAAAAATCTTTCTAGAACTAGTCTAAGTGAAATAATATTCATTTATCTGATCTGGAAAACTGATTTATTCTTGCTTTATTGCTTGAGTCCTTCTGTGCTTGGCAAAACCAGAGGCAATGGCCCAACCTTTCTGCCGAGATCTGACTCTACCTGAACAGCTCAGAACTGTTCTATACTCTACAGCAGAACCAACACAGGGGCTCCCAGACTGTGGAACTAGCACAAGTGGCTCCCCGCTTAAACCGCACTCAGCGCAGGCTGACTGCAGACTGGCTATCCTAAAACCCACATACTTCTAATTACAAAAACACTTCTCTTGTTAAATTTTAACATAATTCAATAACGCATCTCAGAGACTGCTACAATCAGACTTAAACTTGATACAAGACACTTGATTTCATCTCACGTATCAAAACAGAAACTACTACTTGTTACCTACTTAGTGGGTGTCCAAACCCAACATTTTTAGTTTTTGCATATAAGCCAGAAGAATGCTTCCTCCCCCTCAATCAAATATTTCAACCTGCTTCAATCTGAAATAAAAGTTTTATAGCATGAAAATATGGAATTGTATGTTTTAAAAGTTAAATGAAGAAGAATTTCACAAATCCATGTAATTCTCTATTTCTGTAACAACAGTATGAATGGTTTACACCTCTAAATACAACTGTTACAGGACCATCTACTTGTAAATGATGAAAAATAGCTTTTTCAACTGAAGCTATTAATCCCACCTAAAATGTTTTTCTAACAGGCCAATATAAGCCTGACAATTACACCTGGTGTTATTTTGCAGAATATAATAGACTGTAAAGCCTGTCAGGACAGACATAGTCTGAAACTACGCCAGCAAAGGCTAAACTAATTTGACAAATAAATGAGAAAATAATTTAATTCAGAAATCACATGAGAAAGTGCATCTTACCTGTCTGCAAAGGCTGAAGCAATAACATGACAGTTTGGCACACCTGCTCTCCAGAGGTCTGCTCAATCTGCTCAAGTAAACCCAAAAAAAGTTCCTTTGGATTGCATAGCTGCAGGAGAGGAACAACGCATATTTTTTAATCACCACCGTCATAAGCTAAAAAATTCATCACAAGCAAACTTCAATACATAAGTTCCTGAATGTCAAGAAAGCAGATCTGAACATCCAACGTTATCTTTAAGAAAACAAATATGAAACAATAAGCACTTCCCTACAATTAACATCTTCTATGGAGTGATATGTGTGTACACTTTCATATGAGCTGAAGACATATAATAACAAATAATGACACTAAACTGGACTTCTATGGCCTATGAAAACCTCACAGGACCTTAGCAAAATAAGGAGTAGAGAGAAAAGAAAAACTTCAGTGTGAATTTAACTCAAGCTATAGAGTTTGCAAGTTGTTTTTTAAGTACATGAAAGAAAGGGAACTAGTTTTCTAGAGATTAAAACTTTTTTCCCTTACTACTCCACCAGAATCATCAGGTACTCATTGTCATACTGTATCTGCAGTAGACAAGAGGCAGTATAGCTGTGGCTGCTCTGACTGCAGCAGCTGGCTATCAAAAACTTTATGAGTTCTATCTGCCTTTTTCTTCTGGGTAACGCTATGTCTCTTTGTTTTGCCCAGTTACTAATTTCGTAAGATTTGTAAGAAGTTAATTATCTCTGAGAACGCTAAGCCTGTGTCTACTTCAGATGAAACTGGCCCATGAGTTTAAAAGTTATGGGAAATGGACAGAAGAACTCAGAAGTATTCATGCCTTGTTTTCTTTGGAAATCAGAGGAAAAAATAGGACTTCTCCCTTCCCTACAATTACTGTATTATAACCATGTAGTTCAAAAACGTACCTGTGCCAAATGATCTAGTATCTTCAGGCAGTGTTCTCGCTTATCATCTTCCTGTTTATACATGAAAATACATCTAACAAGAGGAGAGATGAGATTCCAACCCATATTCTTGATGATAACCTAAAAACCAGATTTTCAGACAATAAACCAAAACTGGACATCTTCTAAACCCAGAAAGACTGTACATATGAAGGCCAAAAAAGACAACAGGTCAATGTCCTGGTTGTAACCAACACCATAATAATGTTATTGAAAATTTAACATCTATTACCATAAAGTTCTGTACTTGACATACATTGTATGCTCTCCCCATACCTATAAACACAGCTGCATATTTTGTATAGTTTTCTAGTTCTGTTATCAACACTGTTTTGGTTACAAATCTAAAACACAACACCATACAGGCTGCCATGAAGAAAATCAACTCCATGCCAGCCAGACCCAGTACACCATCGGAAATCCTGTCCTGCAAAAGAGGGACACTGTCACTTTCTCTTAATTATGCTTTTGTCCTCTCTTTTTTCTTTGCTTAACTCACTGAAAGTTATTAATGGTTTTGTTAAGACTATCATGACTTTGTTTCTGTGAGCTACCTGAAGTTACACAAAAATGTGCACTTAACACAGAGCAACTTATTAACTATTCATATGTACAGCCTTGCTCCACAGTGTTCTCTTTTTAATAAGCAGTTTTATCTATTTAACAGTGTGTCAGTGCACAACTAATATACAGTACAAACTTAAACTCACCTTATTTTTCTCATTTTGAATTACTTCTAATAACTGAGCTGCATACCCATCTTCTAAACATTTCTGACCTGCTACCTGAAACAGATTAAAATCTTCTCCTTTGAAATCAGCTTCTTCCAGAATTTGCTAGAAAGAAGATACGCATGTTTAACTCCATACTTATAAAAGCCAAATAAAAAAATAAGAAAATCCAAGCTTTCATTTCAAAATTAAATGCAGTGTCATCGTAACTTGTCTTTTCTTATATAACATCTTTCACATATTAAAAAAGCTACCAAGAGCTACTACAGAAGACAAAGCAGTATTCCAGTAGCACTTTCTAGGTCTAGACTACAGCATGTTGTTTGGAAGATGTATTTTCTACAACAACCTGGAAGGGTTTTGTTACTTCAGACAGGTACTGTTGAGTACAAGATCACTTCTTTCTCCAAGAAGCAGAAGTTATCAAGCATCTTGGGATACGCACCACAGAAAAGTCAATGAAACGTGGAGGCTGAACTTAGCTGCCCAGTGAGGAGTTCTGCTAACAACTGTCTTGTGTTTTGGGGTCATTTTGGTTTTAAGTACAATATATGAAGAGAAACGCATGCTGCTTATGCTTGTTACTTTTACAGAAAGAAAACTACTTACGCATCTTTGTATTATGGCTTGAAGTTCATCAACTGCCATTATAGTTTGACCTTGTTCTTCTGGCATTGAAAACTATTAGAAATTAAAGAGTGAAGTATTAAAACACATGAAGTAAAAACAAGCGACTGAAAAATAATCACATTATCCAAAAAAAAAGCCAATAGAGAAATGAGAATAACCTGAACAGACAGATATTATGAAGACCACATGATAAAAAAATCAGGAAAAATGCATTTTTAGGAAGTGCACCCTACATTATTCTACTCCCCATATGCACAGGGAACAGTATTATAGAGAGGAAACAACCTGCATTCTAAGTACAGGGAAGCAACTTTTCAAGTTTCTTAAGAAGTTAGGAGCCCTCAGCTACTACTCTGGCACATACACTGAAAACTGCAGCAAATACAGAGCAAGTCTGCTCTCACTGCGTACCAAGTGCGGATACCCATGATACACGACATTTTCTGTGACTCTTCTCACCAGAGGAGCTCCTGCTCAGCTGTGACTGGAACACTCTAACCCGATGCCTGGGATGTGCACAGCTGGTCCAACAACCACCGTGCCAGTTTGCATCAACAGTCCAATCAAGATTACATATGCAATATCATTTATTTCTTTCTTCTGTCTAGTGTGGGCTAGTTCAGTGGCCTTTTACCTCTAGATACTATAATTTAAAACGTTCTTGCTAAAAACAATGAAGTTAAACATTTGAGTAATGCTGAGTACATACAAAGTTTTACATAGTCAGGACCATGAATTACAAATAAAATCAAACTGGTTATCCATGTGATGTGTCATAGCAGCAGTCATAATCTTTATAGTTTTAAGTAATTCCATGTACCTAAACCTGGTTATATGATCACTATGAGTGTCAATTACCTCTACACCTGGATAAATAGCTAGCTATTCATCAAAACACCCAAGTTCCACATTTATACAGACATCTCAATGTAACATCCTCATTCTTTCCTCTTATGTACGTCAGGCAACATGTAGATAACTAAGCTACCTGGATGTTTGCAAAAAAACAGGCAAATGCAAAAGCTTAAAAAGCATCTGTGTGTGAATTTTATTATTCAAAGAATAAAGAACTCACCTTCTATTCTCAAGGGCCTGTTTTAACATTTTTACGTCACTGCAATCTAGCAATATATCTAGTCTGTCATTTTAATCTGGTCATTATCATATACTTTATTACCACACGTTGTACTACTTGAGCTCTTAAACTTACAGGATGTTATTAATCCTCCCAAAACAATTTAAATATAGTTTTGTTTGAGCTCTAACATCCTTGCATTTGCAGCCCTCAGTAACTTTACAATGTACTTACAGCCTTGAAACGTGCCCGGTGCCCCCACCGTGCTGTTCCAGGGATTCACCAGCTGAGCTCGCAGACGGTCTCAGGCCTTAATCCTTAATCCAGTTGCTAATTAAATCTTCTCAGAGGTTTCAGCGGCCAATGGACAGCACCTGAATCAGGTGAAGCCTTCTACTGTTAATACTCACCACACTCCCTCCCCTAATAAACACACACCTCAGCCCCTTCCCTAGGCGGGGCGCGGCAGGCAGGCCAGTGCGAAGGTGCTGCCGACGGGAGCCTTTAACAGGCAGCTGAGTTAGAAAAA